GGGGGGGGGCTCTTATGGGGCCATGGCGTGATTTTGGGTATAGATCTCTCGGGGTGGCTCAATGGCACTAAAACGGGTGGAACTGCTACGAATCGGGTTTCGGATTCCAAGCCTCTCGGTTGCGGCTTGAGGTTTTTTGAGGGTTATAGAATGAAGCTTAGGTTCCTGGCCAAGTACGGCGTTTTGAGGAGTGGAGGGGGCCTCATCAACATTCCGCATGTTCCTGCGGTAGGCGTGGAAACTGGAAGAGAAAGAACAAGCAAATCCCTGTTCTAGTGTATGTTCCAAAACCATAGATGGGATCGACAACGGAATTTGTTTGCCGACACAGTTCACAAGCAGAGCTTCTCAATGTGTCGTTGCACAGCTGTACAATGCCATAGGTGCGCACAGACGGAGACACATCGATAGCTAAGTAATAAATGCATGAATGTACATGTGAATATCATTAGGTAATCATGTGTGTGTACAATACATATGTATGTATGTATGTANNTACGTATGTATGTGTGTGTGTGTATGTATGTCTGTATGTCTGTATGTCTGTATGTTTGTATGTCTGTATGTATGTATGTATGTATGTATGCATGCATGTCATGTAGGCGGTCATGTACGTATGCTGTCTATACACATCCACAGAGATGCAGAACGCATGTCGTCTGTGGAAGCTGTACGGGATGCCCAGTACAAAGCCCAAGAACGGAGCAACCATGACAACCCCCCCCCCCAGTAGGGAGCCCTGACGAAGAGAGACGGCTACCACGCCATGAGCCATAAACACACAAAAAAGCTTGCGCAACATGAACTACACCGCAAGCCGAAACAACCTGAACGAGAGTCAAAAAACACGTAAGCAGATCTATTGTCACACCCTTGTCAACGCCAGTAATGAAGATGCTGTCTGAGCTTTTCCTGAGGGTACCCCCAAACCCTGAAGCCCTAGACTTGGATTCCGACCCGATACCTGTTTCCAAAGCCTCCACAAAGCCCTTGAACTCGTTAGCATCCTGTACACATCCCATAAACTCCAGTTGGAACCCGAGCTTGATCAAAGGTATAGTCCTTAGTTCAGGGCTTTGAGCAAACAAACCACAACAGACCCCAAACAGCTCCCTTATAGATCCCCTGTTGATCCCTTTTCTTTGTCGCAAATCACAGACTTCTAAACAAGTTCTGAGCAAAACAAAAAGAACAGCCGTACAGTTTGAAGCCACCGCTCGGTCCACCAGCGGGCAGTTGCGCTCGTGAAGACGCGCCATCGTCACGAAGAAAGCAATGGCGATCATGCCGTAAAAGTTGATCTTGTTAACCTCATGATAGTACTGAGAGTGGTAACAAACCAACCAATACTGGCCGTGCTTGTTATTTCTGAACAGTACTGTACTAAACGTGATACTAATTCTACAATAACTAGCAATTCTGACTGAACTAGCCACAATATTTGCAACAGTAATACTTATAAATTGCACCCGTATCCCCAAACCCTACGAAACCGTAGGTCGTAAGTTATGGGGTATCGCCCCTAAAGCCCCTAAAACAGTAGGTTTTTGGACTCCAGGGTTGGTAACACCTAGGTGTAGAGCTCAGGGCTAAGGGGCTTCGTGATTTAGGGATATAGGGCTTAGGGCCTAGAGTTAGGGGTTCGGGGCTTTGGGGGTGCTTAGGGTTTCGGGTTCAGGGGTGTCTAGAGTTTCAGCCCTAGGCCCCTAAACCCCTTGGGGGTTTCTGGGGGTCTTCTAGGGTGCAGGCTGCAGGTCATCGGGATTAGGGTCCTGGCTTTCTTTGTAGGGCCCAAGATATTGGCTCCTCATGTACTACTTAGAGGCTTATACCCTACACCTTTGTTAGGGCGCTTAGTTTTTATGGCTAGGATTTGCTATATAGAAAAGTAGATAACCTAGAAAAGGGGGAGGGGTCTGTGCCTACACGTAAGTCTCAGTCGTTTAGTAGGCCCGGCACTGCTGTTGGCGAAATCAAGGGTTCAGGGCTAAGGGTTCAGGTTTAATACGGTCTGCAGGGGCTAGAGCTTTTTTTGGTGCGTAAGGTCACTGTGCTGTTACTATGCACAGTTCAATTTCCAAGGCTACACATGGGTAGCAGCCCCGCACCTAGGTAACCAGAAACGAACGATCATGACACTCCCCACTCCGGCCCTCTAACCAAACTGAACAGAGACCGGAGGGCCATTCATTCCAGCTTGGGGGTTTACGGTCTCCAGGGGCCCAGCCCCTTGGCATTCACTCCAGGGTATGGGGTTTAGGGTTTAGGGTTTAGGCTTTAGGGTTTAGGGTTAGGGTTTAGGGTTTACATAAGGCCTGCAGATCCGAAAAGCCTGAACATGTATCGTGAACGCCGAATCCGAAGTTCCCGGGCGGCTCAACACCTGGAACTTAGCACTCATCACCCTAAGCCCTAAACCCTAAACCCTAAATAAATCTATCCCAAATCAATCACCCCGAAACTTCTAAACTTTGAACCGTAGATCCTACTACAGCCCACAAGGCTAAACTCCAAACCGTTCCAAACCGTTTCGGGCCGCCATCTTCTGTGTCATCATCTTCCCTTTCCCGTCCTGGGATGTGAGTACAGAATTCGAACAAAAAACATCAACTTGAAGGAGGGTTTTGGGTTAAAGTTCCCTAAACCCTAAACCCTAAAAGAGTTGTGGCTTTGACTTGGAGACTCTCTCTCTCTCTCTCTCTCTCTCGCCTCCGCTCTCTTGCTACGCGCACCCGTCTAGTCCCGCATGTGCTGTCTCGCCAATGGGCATCTGTGTTGTTGATGCATAAATGCATGTACAACAGGCTAGATAGCTAGATCGATCGATAGATGGACAGGCAGACAGACAGACAGACAGACAGACAGACCGACAGACAGACAGACAGACAGACGACAGATGCATAGCTCGATGCAGACCGATAGATCAAGCTGTACTTGTTGAGCTTGTTCGACGATGACTGTGCTGTCAATAACAATCCCTCACGTCTATGCAGCCGAGCATCCAAATAGAAAGAAAAAGCATGGCCACAAAGGTTCAGCAGCATAAATGTCATGGAGACCAAGAAGTACTCCTGGCAGTCCCCTAAACCCTAAACCCTAAACCAACGCCCATTCGAGCTCGAAGATGGCTCTTTAGTGCAGTGTTCCTTTTAAGGGCTCCTTCAAGGGTTACGTTAAGGGTCCTTTGAGGGTTCCTTTCAAGGGCTCCCTTAAAGGGATCCATATAAGGGGTCTATAGGGGTTCAGAGTTTGGGGTTTAGGATGTTTGGGCAGGGTTCGGGTTTGACCCTAAACCCTAAACCCTACCTAGACGAGCTTCGGGGTTCGGATTTAAAATGAGAGCGGAACATCATTGTCCTCATTGCCTTGCAGTATCCGGGATCGCTAGCATTGACAGCGCTTGGTTGTAATACCGTGTATATATATATGGTGTTACTGCAATGCATTATGGTAGTACTTATATATGGTAGTACCACAGTATAGTATGGTATCATTATCGTATATTGCGGTATCATTACAGTACATTATGATTTTAATCCCTGGTCAAGCGGGGTCAGCGACTGGTCAGCGGCTTTCAATGACCTTGTTCAAGCCCCCCCCCTCCCCCTACTCGCTGTTTTACTGCTACGCAATTCGGGACGGGAAAGAAAAAAGCCCGGCATCTCAGGTTTTCTGTCGGAAAATGGGGGACAGCTTCTCCTGAATCCAAAGGCTCCTTAAGCCTAGGCCGGTCTCATCAAATCCTTTAAAAAAGGAGCACAGGCAGTCGCAAAGCACCAACGACCTTGCAAGGCTTTCCACCACAAAAGGGGGTGCCTAAACCCTAAACCCTAAACCGTTGTCCTCCAGCCAGCTGGTGCTTCCGGATACCGGCAGCTTCTCCATCACCGAGTTCCGAAGAGAAGTGAGGGATACCCTTGGTTTGGGATGTTAGGTTGTTGCACAAATCCTAAACCGAAGCGGCGTGACCATGCACTCGAAAAGTATAAACCCTATGCTCAGCCCTGAAAGTTACTTTCTGGGCCTGGGATTAAGTGTAATATAGGGGCTTTCATAAGTAGTATATGGGTTTCTTTGGAGTGTTCTATGGGTTCGCTATGGGTGTAAGGTATCGTTGTAGTACAGGTGGACCACCAAGACTGCACCCGAGAGCAACACCTAGCCAAGAGATGCTAAACACGCACACTTCCTTGTCCAGTATCCTAGGCCTAGGCGAGCTAAAGGTTTAACCTTTAAGGTTATATAGTAATATAGGAGTCGACACCTACCCCAAGAAGGTCAAGGGTTGCCTACCCTGCTACTGGGTACGGTCTCGCCTCCCGGCGAAAACCAATATGCATTTACTCTCTGACGAAAACTATCACAGGAACTTGCCTTTTTCGCGGTGCGTTTCCGTGTAGCTAAATCCCTAGCAAGATCCTCAGCTCTAAAGCTAAGTAGCTGCGCGCCCTCAACCCGGAAGCCCTGCCCCCCGGAACTCCGAAATCAGCAAGTTTGAGCCAAAAGCGAGCACAGGCGCAGCGCCAGCATCGTGGTGGCCACGCGGGGCATAGACATCTTCACACCTGGAGGGGTTGCAGTTGACGATCGGAGAGCCCTGTTGAGAGAACGAACTACTATGTCTGGCTAGCCACCTCGATTTGGAGTTCAGGGCTTGCCGTAGCCTTGGTCATAATTGTCAAGACCAGATGCTTCAAGGCAAATCATCCGAGATGATCCTGTATCCTAATTAGAAGCTACACTCTGCCGGCCTTCCATATGGCCAGTAGCTCGAGTTGCGGAAGCCGGTGTCAAAGCCAGGGTTAACGCCAAAAACAGACACGCACACACATAGACAGAGACGGAAACCTGGCACCACAAAGCCCTTGCACTGCAACATGTTCTGAGTTGGGGATTCAGGGCAACCATCGACTTTGGCTGAACGCCTAGTTCAGCTCTGAGCCCTGTGCTTGAAACTTACGTCAGCAGTATGTCTCTGTATGTAATGAACAGAAGACAACCCGCAATGCAAAGTCTTCTTAAAGGTTTATCCTGCGCATGAGGGTTCTAGGGTTCAGGGCTTCAGGGCACGACAAGAAAGGGTTCGTCTGAAGCCCGCAACCGAACCCGAAACTGAATAGGAGTAAAGCCCCAGCTGCCGTATGCACCTTCCGCTGTCAAGGCAAACCCTAAACCCTAAACACTAAACCCTAAACCCTAAACCCCTAAAACCCAAAGCCCTGAACCCTAAACCCCTAAACCCTAAACCCATAAAAGTCAAGCCCGGCTCCCCCAAACCACAATGAAGGCACTACCCAGACCTTCCAATATCCCGTTAGTTTGGGAGCATACCTCAAGTTATGGTAGGATCCCTCATATGACTTAAAGTACATCATTCCTTACTTAAAGGATTTCAGAAGGTCTGGGTAGTAACGAGTTCACAATTTCACAAGGGAAGCACTAAGGGCCCTTAACAGATAGAATAATATGGGTGTTTGCCGGCATCTCAAATTACTACAGTTCATGACAAGAAACCTAACGAATGATGTTGGGAAATCTTCAGGCCACTACATAAAACGCCAAAACCCCACGCATTTGCAACCTCTGGCAGGCTCCTTTGAGGCCTCAATTGATCCCTGCACCCTCAAGCCGGTCTTGATGCCCAAACCCTCTGTTAATAACTAAAGTAACTAAACCCTGAACTAACCCTAAGGGTCCATGTACCTAGTCCCTGTATAGGTACTTTAGAGCCAATGTATATACTACTTGGGTACATGGACCCTTAGGATATAAGCCCTAAATTAAACCCTGGCCCCAAAGTTCCCCGAAGCCGAAGCCTTAAACCTGATAGACCCAAACAGCAGCCCGGGAACTCAGAGCGAAGGACAGAAAGCCCATGGCGCTGAAGATAAAAGAGGGCCAAATGTGTCCTCGGGTCTGTTGCTCCTTGCACACGTTTTGGGGTGGTTGGATTTGAGTGGTTCGCCGTCCGCGTGAGTGTGTGTGTGTATGTATGTAT